CTGGGTGTCGGGGCGTGTGGAGCTGCGGTAGCCTGCGACGCGGGGTCAGCGCCGGCATGGGCAGGGGCAGCTGGGAGCGGGAACGGGGGCAGCATGGCGTGAGCCTGCCTGCGGGAGTGGGCTGCTCGGAATGTCAATAGGCGGCGTGAGGATGGGAGAAGTGGGAGGAACGAGGGCTGGGGCAGCAGCGGGCTGGAGGGGGACGCCTCGAGCAGGCGGGTCAGCTGGAGAGGAGGATTGTTTGGACCTCCCGGGAACTGGGAGCTGCGTGGCCTGGGTGCACTGATATTGTTGTGGGGGGAAATAATCCATCAGAATAGGGGTGGGCAAGAGCGGAGCTGAGGGCTTGATGAGTCAGGGCCTTGTGGAAGTTTGAGACTTGATTTAAGACTGTTACTTGATAGGAAAAAACATGAGGTGGGATGAAGTCTGTTGTAAGCAGACTCTGACCTCTGAGTCACAGGTTGACTGGGCTAGCTCCTAGCAGAAGGTAATCTAGAAGTCATCTGTCTGTAGAGAGAGTGTAAAGGAGCAGTTTCTGTCGAAAGTTAAGCTGCTGAAGAGATTTTGTCAGCATGGTAAAGGAGGAATTAGCTGTGCTGTTGGAATGTTAGGAACTGCAAGAACCTTGCCTGTTCCCATCATGTTTGCAACAGTCTTGCTACTGAGTAATAAGAATGGTTTGGATCATAATGACGTGTTCTTAAGTATAGGAATATTAAGCAGATCTCCAGTATGGTGGCAGAGTAACAGGATGATTTGTTGCAACTGTGAATGATTTTGTTCATGTGTGGTGAGTTACCTACCTCATGGAAGGCAGAACTCCCTTACAAGTGCAAAGATGGCCAGAGCAGTTTATGTAGTTTCAAACTGGCATGCACAACCCTCCTCTTCTGTGGTGTTGTTAACTAATGGCCACATTCCTTTCCCAGTTTATTTTGCTTTAAAGAATCCTGTCCCACTGCTTTTTCCCCAAAATCCAAAGCTAAGGAGCTCATCTTTTGTTGTGGTGAAAGTTGTAACAAGTAAACAGCTGCTGTTACTGCTGGTATACTACCTAAACTATGCTGGAACTCCTGAGAAGCGAGTTCTGGCCTGGAAGCCACAGGAATGTGTTGGTGCAGTGCTGCACCGGGAGGCAGGGCAGAGGCAGAGCAAAAGTGTGAAGCTTCTCACCTGGCCAGGCAGCCATCCTCTGTGATGGCTTCTCATATGAAAGAGACACTTAGGAGAGATATTGATGATGCACTGCAGATTCTTAAAATTTGGTCACTTCTAAACAGCAATGAAATCTATCCTTCAATCCTGTAGGAATTGAGAAGCAAAGGCATTTTTTTTTTTCCCTCTTGTTGCATATGTGCTGTTACTAAAAGAATGTTTTTATATTTCTTACTCCATGAGCTACAACTTTTGGGCATGCGTATGGGTCCCTTTGTGGAATTGCTACTGATGGATGCGCTCTGAGCTGGTGCAATGATTAAACTACGCCTTGGACTAAGAATATCTGCTTCTTTGGGAAAAAATATAGGTCAACATGTACCAAACTCACATGATTACTGACCTTTTGTAACCTTCTACAAGTGTTTAAAGAAGTTGCAGTAATCTGTGATTTTTCTAGTAGCTTTTTGTTACTTTCTCATACATAAAGTGCTGAATATATCTTACATGTACAGAAATCATTTGTGTTTCTGAGCTTTCTGTCTTTAAGGATGATTTTTCCAGGATTTGTGGAGCGGGCATCAGTGTGTGTGTGCACTGGCTTCCTGATAGGGTTGCTCTTATTTTGAAAACAATGTAACTTTTTGAGGAGCCCTGACAGAACACTTAGCCTTTGTTGAAACCTTGCCATGGAAGACCATCACTTTTCAGGTTGTGAAGATCTGGAAAGGAGTCTGGTTTAGAGTGTGGAACTATTGAAGCATGAAATTTTAAATGCCATTGCAGCTCCCTAGAAGGAAGTCCTACATAGCACTTACACTGATGACCTGATACCTGGAAACCACTGTTTGTTCTTTTTTTCTAAAGTTTAAGAATTTATAAAGCTTATTAAGCATCCTATTCTGTAATTATGATTAGCTTTGGACTTCAACTACTTCCATCCACTTGGACAAAATATTCCATGTTTTCTTGTATTGTTTTCAGGAAGTTTTTTTTTTTCTTCAGTCTTTTGTGACTTACCCTGTTAACTTCTCACAATACACATTCCCACCTTGCTGCAAGTATGTGGTCTCAATTCTTTTCACTCGTCTTCCTATTTCTTTAATATTTTTGATTTTTTTTTTCAAAGTTATCCCATTCAGCCTATAATGATCTCTGTGTGTTATGGAATTCTCTCTAGATTTTAATTATTTTAAGAATGATGTGTACCTAAAATAGTGTTTCACATCAGAACTGCTGACCAGGAATAGATCATAAGCTCTGTATCTAGATATGGTTCAAAATCATCTGTTTTACATTTGTCTAAGATGATGTCTTGACTTTCTGTCTACTGTTTTGGGAATCTTTCAGTGACCTTACAAATTTTCAGGGAAATTCTACTTATCTTGGCAGGAGTAAAAGTACTTTAACCAATATTATTCTGTAATGCACTCATGAGCACCAACTATCTAAACAGCTGTGTGATAAAACGAAGAGGCCTTAATTTCAGTCATAATGAAAGAAATTCTAAACAACTCAGAAAAAAAAAAAATATGTTATGGTTCATATTTCCTAGGAAGCAGTAACAAGATTGGAAAAGCAGGTAGGCATGAATGGAGTTAGCAGAGGCCTGAGGAAAGGATGTGGTAGATTTTGGAAAAGATTCCTTGTAGATGCGGAGGAAGGCTGAGTTAGGAGTAGGGAGGGGACTTCAGACAATGCACTCATTTTGTGTGGTGCATGGTTTTGTAATAAAAAAAAAAACAAAACACCAAGCAAACAAGTGTGTCACTCAACTTGTATTTCTTCAGGCTTTTTATGCATTTGTCCCTTCTGTTCTAACTAGGATACTGGGCAGATGCTGGTCAAGAGTGCAAATGGATTAATAAATGGATTGTGGCATTTCACCAAAGTGGGCTAATATTTTTTTCAAGTTGAAAAAAATAGTACAAAATACACACTTGTTAGGAGCAAAGCTGTCAGTTTATATTTTAACATGTGTTTCAAATATAGTAATGCTATTTTCCCTGTATAGCTTGCATGTGACATCCCTAGTTAAAATAAGGGGCTACATGTATGTGCGATGAATGGGAAGAAGGCAAAAGCCAGCTAGGTCAGAGTCTTCAAAGTGTGGAAAATTCTTTGTTCAGACTTTTTTAACATGCTAGAAGTCAGTCCCTCAAAAAACGGTAGCAGAACACAGCATGATACACCCATGATGACTTGCATCTGTTTATAGGAATTTTAGGAAACATTTCACAACTGACTTTGTTGCAGTCTCCACTTGTCCTGTTAATAGCCTAGCACGGGAGGTGACCCTCAGCAACTGAAAACATTTGGGAAAATGAAAAATCCTTTACCGAAACGTCACTATACAGTGTAGCACAAACTCAGTATTTATAAGCCTTAGAAAAAATAAATGGAACATTACAGATTCTGGGGCCTGTCAAACTCTTTACCAAGCGTTTATTAGTCATGTCGAAAAGACAGTAATCTGTGTGATCATGGTGGAGCAGATTGCATAGGGTACAGGCTTGCTTGTTTTGGTATCATCCTTTTCCTGTACTGCCACAATTCTTTTCATTGTTCTCTTAAGAACTAGGAAACCTACCTTGAAATAATAGATGCTGAAAAATAAGAAGGATGAGGTTACGGAATCAAAAAAATACTTAAACTACTGAATCTGTTTCTGAAAAGTATGTTCTATAGAGAAATTTATTTCCTCAAGGTAATAATTATAATTTTTAAACTTAAAGATAAAACTGAAATAGTAAGTTTTGCAACTTTTTTTAGTAAATAATACACAATTTTCTTGCTGCTTATAGAGGAAACAATGCCATTTTTGGGCCAAGACTGGAGATCCCCTGGATGGCAATGGGTTAAAACAGAAGATGGATGGAAACGATGTGAAGCCTTCAGTCCTGCACTTGAGGATGAGAATAATCAGCTGAATGATATCAGTCACACTGTGTAAGTTCAAAAAAAGTGATTCTGTATGAATTAGTAGCAGGTGGGAACACAAAGATTGACCTAATTTGCACTCAAGATTGCAAGTGTTTGTGGTAGATGATGTCATCTGCATATGCTGGAAGTATGCAAATGCAGCCATGTGCTGTGTTTAGTTCAGCAGAGAAGAGAGCCCTATGGAGATTGTCTTTTGTCACTGCATCCTCAGTCTCTTGTTTTAGGCAGACAGAACCCATCTTATGTTGTATGTCTTGAAAGGAAAAAAAAAAAATAACCAAACAAAAACCACACCCAAACCAAGAACATTAAACCAAATAAACAAAACCTGTCAAGTACTATTTACAGATAAAAATGATACTTCTGTTGAAAGTGCAACAGGCATATTGAAATGTTAGCTAGAAGTGAATGAAAACTTTCTGCTGATGGGATGTTAGACTGAGACTCTTTATGGCAGTCATATTTGCTCAAATACACAGTTTTTATGTTCAATAGTTTTATGTTAACTGCCTAACACAATATGTGATTATATGTGCTCCTGTAAAACAGGTGAGAAAGATATTAAAGTAATACTTGCAGTAGAAGCCCACAGCCTGGTGTGCTATAAATATCTTTGTCCCAACAAATTTTTACATGTGGTCAAGTGTATCTGCATTTTCTAAATTTGCTAAATAATCCTAGAGAGAGTTATCAGGCAATGAGGAATTATTACTGATCTTATTTTGACCTACAATTTTCTTAATGACTTTTTTTCTTTGTGCTCATCTGTTGCTGAGTTTATTTGGGCTTCTTTTTCCACATAGCCTGGCTGTTGTGTATGCAAAAGAATATGCTTGTCTGGAAGTGTGTTCACTAAGCCTCCAGTCAGTGTGAAAGTACCCTTAAGCACTTCTGAAAAAAACATTTTCTTTAATCTTCCATGTATCTTTAAAAATAAAATTGGCAAACGAAAGGAAGTATAATTTAATTTTTATATCTATTTACACAGTTAGTAAATAATTCTATCCTATAGGTTGCTTTAATGAATATTGTTTGGTAGGTGTGACAAGTGATCATTGTGGTTGTGAATATCATTAAGACTTCTGCTCTTCTGATCCTGGTTTTGTTTCTGTGTGTGTATATATACACACACCTTTTCTCCAGAGAGCAAGGTGATATATTTTTATTGCTCCTTCATGCAAAAATACTAGATTTTTTTTTTCCCTTAGTCTTGAAAGAACTTAATATTGAACTCCTGGGGTTGTTTTGGTAGAAACAGATTTAAATCAACTGTTTCTTGAAAGATAAAAGCTTTAAAGTTCAAAACTAAAAAAGGTATGTTAATTTGAAGGGACTGGCCATGAAATGCTGTAGTGATTTCCCAGTTCCTCATCTTCCTCTTATACATCGCCTATTTAGCAAGGCCAAAGCACTTCAAATTCTGTGGCCTGTTTTAAAATAATTCTGCATCTGTCTATTCAGTTAAAAATGTATATATTTTCCAAAATTAGACTCCAGTATTCAAATTGGTACCTCTTGGCAAAAATCGCACTGCTGGGGAATAATTTCGCTACTCCTTGAACTTTGGATCTATGAATTAACATTTGCTGCTAAACAGCAATTAAGACCTTTGTACAGTACTGTAGAACAACTTGGGGTGGAAAGGACCTCTGGGTCCAAACACATACTCAAAGCAGGGCCACCTGGTGTCAGGTTGTATAGGGCCCTTCCCCGTCGAGCTTTGTGCATTTCCAAGAATGGAAATTCCTCTCTTGGTTCCTGTTCTAACTTCTGTTACCCTCAATGTGATTTTTTTTTTTTTTTGGTGGTGGTCTTTTTTTTTTTGTTGTTGGTTTCTTTTGCTGTTGCTCCCTGTCTCCCCCCATCTAATAAGAATTTCTCTTATCAAAGGTTGTCTATTACCACTTGACTTGCTGCCCACCTCCTCTAATGCTACAGTCTAGCTCCACCTCATTTGTACCCTCAGATGCTGGCAGTGATGGGATTCCCCTCCGCCACCACCTCTTAACACTGGACAAGCACTTGTTAGCTCAGACCAGGGTGCAGTTGTCTTTACACAAGGGCACACTGCTTAACCATGTTCAGCTTGTTACCCACAAGACCTCTTTTGGCTCCTCTGCAGAACTCCTTTGTATCCAGTCTGTACCCAGCACGTGCCGCGGGGTGGGCTGTTCTGTGTGCAGGGCTTTGTACTGGTGCCCAGCCGTGTGTGGTGCCTTGCTGGCTGATTCTCTGAAACATCTTGAGCTATTTGGACAGAATTATCTGTGTGTATTGAATAAACAGCTCAACTTAGGATGTCTGTTAACGCGATGCAGCACAGAGTAAGAATGAGGCTTGATGAAATGCTTCCTTCCTTGTGGAAGAAGCTTATAGTAAACAAGTAAGTACTTCACTGGCCTGTGAATAGGGTATGCCAGTCTGGCTGTCCTAATAGTGTTATTTATTTTATTTAATGGGTGAAAATAATATTTTTCACCAAAATATTCTGTAGAAATCTATGGGGTAAATGTAGTACTTGAGTACTGTGTTCCAGGGAGCAGTTCTGGCAGTTTTCCCTTAAAAAGAAATAAAATCAAGCCATGTAGTTGACTGAAACCCTTTTTACTCTTACTTGTGTTTTCTTCTGTGAGAGAAAGTATGGATAGTGTTACTTGCCAGACCTTGTCTTTTATCTATTGCAAATACTTTTGTTTCAGAAGGATGAATGGGAGGGGTTTTATATACAGCCTTCTTGTCAAAGGATAATAATGGGGAAATAGAATAGTCCTACAGTTAAACTTTACTACCCCATATTCTTAGTTATTCTGGTTGTCTGTGCAAGACTGGCCTTAATATGAAGTATCTTCCTTCTATGTGCTAGAAAAATGAACGCTCATCTGTATTGCTGGTCCGTGTAATTATCTACAAAAATGGAAAGCAAAACTTTATGAAACCGTGTAGACTTTATGTAGCACAGGCAGTTTTCCAATGTATATGAATTTTAGAAAGGTTAGTTTATCCAACAAAACATTAATAGTTCCTTTGTGTATATATATACACACACACACATATATTCTCACTATCTCTGTATACACCATGTATAATTATTCAATATAGTCCTCAGCATTAGGTTACATAGTTGACTGTTGGAAGCAACACAGCTATAGATGAGTCCCTATGGGGTAGATGGGCATAGACCATGTGGTTCTTGATGCTGTACAAATCATGGGTTAAACAGTACTGTGACACCTGCTTTATGGACAGTGCTGTGATTCAGGCATCTGTTAAAAGACAGGCTAAAAGAAAGTTAAAAGAAAAGCAGTATTAAGAAAGATGTTGTTCTTTGCTGGCTTCCTGCATACACAAGGACGTGCAGTAGTTCTGCACTGACTTTTGCCATTGCACACTGCTTTTTAAGGCTGGGTCCATTTAAAATTATTTTTTGTGCACCAGAGTTCTGCAGACAGCCAGTTGTCCAGCTACTACTGTCTCCTCAATAGACCTTCCTAAATGCCAGTAGTGACTTAGAGAATAACTGATTAGGGAGATACTTTTGTGTATTTAGTCACTTTGACACAAAATTCAACCTGACTGGGAAGAAAAGAACAAGAGAGCTTCTCTCAAGATACATGTTGCTGAAGACTATCAGGTAGAGTTACATTTTAAAACTATGTTGTTTTTTTTTTTTTTCACAGCTGGCAGATTTTAATGCAGAAAATTATAAGTTGTATGCATCTTAAATATTTAATTGCTGTTGTTCTAATGAGATGTGTTTATTGCAGCATCATAACTGGTGATGATGAGGATGAAGAAATATACAGTACTGAAGATTGTGAGCTTGCAGCCAAAAAAAGGAGAAAGGATCATTTTAGAAATAACACCGATTCGCAGTGTAAGGCTGGTGTTTTTTTCATTTATTTTAGAAGACTCTTGTAGGTTCAGCAAAATTTTATAATAGCCATTCATTTATATTCATCTATAGAGTAGTCTTCTGAGTTATTTGTGTATTGGCAAAAAATCCTGCTGTCAGAAGTGATACATCTTCACTGAAGTGTGGCATTGATCATCTCCTGTGTGTTTTGTTGTTTATTTAAAGAACCAAAGGTAATTAAGAATAGTAATTCTTATAATAATAAACGTCTTCTCATCCTACCCACTGTCCTGTTTTGTGGACTAGTTTTAGACTAAATTCTTCTGGATGCTTATGGAAACGTCTGCTTAGCAAAGCAGTTGTTTTATTTTGCTTAATTCAAATTCTAGTTAGTGAAATAACTCCAGAATCAATTAATAAATATATGTTGTTATAATACCTGTTGCTTTTGATAGACTATCGAATTTCTTGAAAAAAGTCCCTTCTTATAAAAAAAAAAACCTAAAATATGCCACTTTGTTTTTTAAAAGAAATAATTTCACCTATAATTTGAACTGAAAATGTATATGATAACAAGTAAACTTTTTAAATAGAGAATTTGATAGAGTAGATAAAAAGATGTAAGTTGATTAGCATCTTTTTGGCATTTCTAGTGCTTTCATCTGGACATTATCTGCATTGTTTGTTTATTCCCAAAATTGTAACAGAGGTGGTCTTGCAGAAAGCTGCAAATTTCCACAGTGGGCTTGTCTGAGCTTAAAGGTACTTGAAAAGATTCAAGTGGCTGTATGTAAGAGCACACTTCAGTTTGACAGCATACTAGACTTCTGAAAGCTGAAGGTTTGCCTAAGGTGCCTTTATTAGTCTTGTGTAATTGACTTCCCTGCAGTATCTGCAGCTGGTTGAATCAAGTGGGTGTGGAGCAGGCACCTGGACAGAAGAAAATGGATTAGAGGGGTAGAGTGGTCAGGAACAAAAAGGTTGCTCATTTCTGTACTTTTCTGTGTTAAGAGCTAAGGAGCCTGATGGATTAAAACACATCAGAGGTTTTGTAGGAGAAATTGGCTATTGGTGCACAGTTGACAAAAGTAGTGCTATGTCTGCCAATTGTGTCCCAGCTCTTGTTTGATTTATAAAATCATTCAACTGTTCCCTTTTTCATCTTTGAAGTGCAAGACATGAGATTTTGTAGGCATCCTTTTCAGCCTTTATAAACTTCCTTCATTAAAATTTTTCTACCATCTCTATTGCCTTATGAAACATTTTATTGAGGATGCTCTCTTTTGTTCAATTTCTTTCTAGAAGGCATTACTTTAAAGCTTAAAATTACTTATATTTTGATTTTATTTTAGGTTTTTATCGTGAAAAGTGGATTTATGTTCATAAAGAAAGCACCAGGGAAGTAAGTCCTGCATGCTGTGGGTCTATTCCTACAATCCTTGTGCTTCTTAGTCAACAAAATAGTATATTAAAAAAATAAAAAAGTATTTCTATTGTGTGGCCTCAGGGGTTATAGTTCTCTCTTCACTGGCAACATAGTACAACTGCATGTGGTGAGGCAAAGGCAGCTAGGAAAGTAATTTTCACATGGGTTGTTGTGGCAGGGACGTGGGGACTTGCAAGGATGGACATACAGTTCTCCACTAGTTCTCCAAGCTCATCTGTCTATCTGTACTGCGTGATTTTGACCTAAAATGGAAAGTAGTTGCCAAAGCAGAGTAATGTCTCCAAAGAAGGTGTCTGCAGGCAGCTGCCTGGTATTGTAGGATCTTGGTGTAAATTTGAATTTAACTAAGTGAAACTTCATTTTCAAACTTTACAAAGAGGACCTTTGTATTCCCCAAGGTCCAGTTGTTTTCACTTTGGGATACAAACTGTATCATGCATTCTAAAGGGAACATGAAAGATCTTGAGATGACCTCTTAGAAAGCCAAGAGTTCAAGTACATCCATTGCATGTAGAGGTGAACTGTCATGGAGTTTGAGTTTCATTCCTGTGTTGATTCCTGTGGTTATCTGGGATGGGTGGAACGTGGACACCAGTAAGGATGTCTTTAGTCCACACAGTAGTGCCAGCCAGGAGGCAGGGAAGGAGGTGGACGGGGTGACCCTAGCCATGCAGGCCAAAGTTGGCTTTGCATTGTAGAGCTGATAGAGACCATGAAGAGCTCAGCAGTCAGGAGGAGAGTGATCTTGTGGAGAGGGCTTACACAGAGGAGACACAGGAAGACTTCACCTTGCAGACAAGTAATTAATTGTATAAATTCAAAAGCTTGGAGTTAAAAGTTAAGTAGCGGAATGAAAAAGTACCAAGAATAAACATATCTGAACAAAAAAATTCAGAGTAACAATTTAAATCATGATTTTACAGAGGATCTAGTTTTCCTTACAGGTCGTAATCTTAAGTAATTTCAGAATGGCTGTCTTGCAACTTGGAAACATTTTTTCCAAACTGGATACTGAATTTTAGAGCAAAATGACAAGAGTAGGAAGGTTTTGTTAAGAAACATATGAAACATGCTGTGGGAGAGCACTGAACATAAGAACAAACAAACAAAAAACAAGCACAGGTATACAGCTGAAATTAAGTAGGAGATGCTCTTTGAGTAATTTTGTCATAATGGTACATTGGGAAAATGAGAGTGGAGGTTTCACAGAAATCTGCTTCCAGCTGTTCAAGGAAATGTACCTCTCATGTAAATATGTGTAAGCATGGCCTTTTGATAGCTGTTTAGCCAGAGAACAGCCACAAGCATTTGAATTTCAACAGAAGTTTTATGATCTGTAAGTGTTAAATCACTGCTATCAGCTGACCAAGATGTGCATGTTGTGAGGTGTGCTGCACACTTGGGTATGTTAACTGGGTGAGCAAGCAGTACAATGCTGAACTCTATCATTAACCAAACAGGCAAAAATTACCACCACTCTGTGGTGAAGTTAACTGCTTCCTGACCCACATCCAGGGTAAGCTTTCATCTGGTTGCAAAGTGGAGCGTTAAGTTGTACTACCATCTTTTCACTGTCACATAATTCACTGAGGAAGTTTGTCTAGGAATAAATTTCAAGTAAATATTTCTCCTCCTCCTTCCCGGGGCTGATAAGCCATGTTAGCACAATGCTCTGCAAGTCTCTCTTTCACCAATTGCAAGGTTTTTCTAGCCTCATTGTATTTGCTCCAAGGCTCCTGTGTGGCTTTGTGGTTCTAAATATGCTCAGTTTGTGATCTTGTGTCATTTTGAGCAGCCAAAACTACCTTGAAGTAGTTCCACAACAGGTTCTGAAACTTCTATTTTAGTCTTAAGACACCTGTGCAGAACTACCAACAGAAAATGCAATTGCTCTTGGTACCTAAGAAAAATTGTGCCTAAACTTCTGGCACCCAGGAAGGAAAATTCTAGATGTGAGACTATTTGTTGTTCCAATCCCAGGAGCAAGTAGCTGTGTTTGTACCCTGAAATGTGCACATGAAGTCAGTCAGTGCTTATGGCTGTAAGCTCAGACTGCTGTACAAACAAGCTCAGCCTTGTGCTGAGGCAAATGGGAAGTGTAAGCCATGAGAGAGCCATTCAGTAGTGGAGGAGATTCCCAGGATGCTCAAATAGCAGGGCTTACATATTGAATTATTAGTATGAATTTGAAGGCCTTGCTGTTGAGTAATGTTGCCTACATACCTTCCTAGGGCCAAATAACAGATCTAGTTTCACTTGTTCTGGAAGGAATTAAATACATCTTCATTACGTTAGACTTCCAGGGATTGTGGTAAGCATAAGTATCAGTTGCATGGCAGAGTGCTTTTTCTGAATATTTCCCCCAATTTTGTCTTTGTTTATTTCCATTTAAAGTGTATTTATTTTTCTTCTCAGAGACATGGCTATTGCACTTTGGGAGAAGCTTTTAACCGCTTAGACTTTTCAAGTGCAATTCAAGACATCAGAAGGTTCAATTATGTGGTCAAAGTAAGCTCTTTATTTCATATTCATGTTTTAAAAATGCATTTGTGTACAAAGGAAGGAATTGTGTACTGAACAGCTGATGATTTGCGACTGTGGTAAATATCCTGCTCATATGTAATTTATACTGCATGAGGCAGCTTTAAACTGAGTAAATCTTCCTTGATAAAAACTTGTTACATTGCACTGAGAGCCTGTAGGTTGAGGAGGGTGGTGATGGCCGGTGTTCTGTGGGTTACAGGGAAGCATCAATGGTAGTTTCAGTTATTGGTCATCAGTCTGGGTAGTGAACTCTCCTTAAAGGCAAAGTAATTCCTATACAACCTCTATATACTCTTCCTATATAGAAGAGTGTAAGACATCTTAAGCATATTTAAGATGCAGTAAAGTGTATTTAAAATAGCAGTTTCCAGAAGAATATTTGATATGTTCATTTTCTGCAGTTTCTACATTTTCTGCAGCGTCTTAAGTCCCATGATTCATTGCACTTTTTTCAATCTAGAACAAGATATGTGTCTTTACCTTTGTCATCATGCCTTAATACTTGAGACATTAGCTTTCAGTTGTGTGGGTTTTGGGTTTTTTTGGTCTTCCAGAAATGAGTTTTATTTTTATTTTGAGTTTATAATGTAGTGACATGAAGCTTACTGCAACAATTACTATATACTAGTCTCATGATTGCTTCTAAAGTCTGTTTCTTACTACATTAGCTTCTCTGGGTCAGGTCTAGTCTTAGATTGAGAATTAAGCGCATGGAACCTGCAAGTTCTGGACAGTGGTGCTATCTGACTGTTCTGCAAAGCTATCTGACTTGTACTCTAAGGAGCCACATAATGTTATGCCTCAATTTCCTCAATGTCTAACTAGCTGCCCACTTGTAAATACCTGTTCTAAGAGATACTGATCTTTCTTTAGCCCCATTTTTTTTTTTTTTCCATCTAGCTTGATTTGGGACAAACTGTACTACCTCCTAGAGAAGCTTAAAATGTGACACAACAGGACTAGAGTTCAGTTCAGTGGTGAGGCTGTTCACAAATGATGTGTGGTTGGAATGCATCCAGAATTTAAAAAGACACAAATCAAAATTAAGTAAACATACCAGGAGAACACCCTTACTGCTAGGTTGTGGAGTATTTGGAGAGAAAACACATTCTACCCATCCTTGGGAAGCTGAGACTGTATTATACTTCCAGAAAAACAAGAGATGTGAATCCAAAAGAAATAAAGGAAAAAGGATTTGCTTCCAGGCTGGTGGTTAGGTACTTGTCTGTTTTATTCCCTTTGCAGACTTTTTGGTATATGTATACATTGTGGTTTAGAATAGTGCTTTTTAACGTTGTGTGGGGAGCAGAGACAAGAACTTTAATCTTCCCCAAGACTTTTCACTCTCAAAACAGTAGGAGGAAAGAAAAGCACTGGAAAAAAGTGATTTGTGTTATAAATGGTGTCAAACTTGAATGCCTCACTTGAATGGTAAATAAGTATAATTAATCCAGAACTAGCACCTTACCTGTTTTTTAGACACTGCAGTGCCTAAGCTGGGTTGCTCAAAACAATTTATTTGAACAAAGTCTGGTATAAGCACATGGACCAGTTTCTCCTCTATTCACCGAAGAATATAAAACATATGGTTTATTTAGCCAGGTTTAAGATTGTTGAAAAAGGAGCAATACACTAAAAATCATAAGTTTGGCTTTGTTACTAAGCTTTGGAAAACTTTGTTTTCCAAGCTGTTACTAGAATAATAGTAGATCCTAAGAAATTAAGGTGGATAGAGAATAGCAGGAAAACGTCCAAAATCCTTTTAACATTTTAGAATGGGTGTAAAATTTTTTAAATTTTAGAATTGCTTTTCAAATACAAAAAATTATCATTGTATCAGTGTCTCTGAGAAGATGGAAGCAAACTTATCAACAGATACAGAAACTGTACCACTAAGACCTTAGAAGTTACTGAGCGGTTAATAAACACGATCACTCTGCATGTAAGCAGCTGCTCAATCTGTAGCCCTAGAGCTTGTTGACTTGAGAAATGTTTATGGCATTGTACCTAACAAAAAAAGCTATGTGGACATCAGTAATATGTAATTGCAACAGATTTTTAAAAAGGATGTTTAATGTGCTCTATCAGGTTTTAAGCCAGTCTGTAGCTGAGACCTAATGTAAGAAGCTGGTCATCCCATGTCTATCTGCTCTATGGAGGTTCTCCTGTACTTCCCTGAAGCTTCTAATGGTGGAGGTGTTTTGTGTAGATCTCACTGAATGCAGTGCAGCAGTTCCTATTTCTTCTCCTATAAGAATTATTCCTAGTTTTGTGTGAACACGACAATTAATATGTTTTGTTCTGCTCATTGCATTTAAGATAGCAACATATAAATCAAGAAGGTGTTTGGGGTTTTTTTATTATTTTTTAAATACCAAGACCTAATGGGTAACTAGTCTTTGTTTCCAGACCACCAAGATGATGTACTTTGATTCTCCAGCCATCTAAACCCCTCCAATCTTTATTAGAAGTTAATATAGATGTCTGCCCAGGACCCTTTTAGGGTGAGCAGTGGGGAGGAGGTAGGATCAGCTGTTCTCCTGTACCTGTTCTGTAGTATAATGGCCATTTCTTAGATTTTAAATGCCTGGAGTTTGGTATCTATGGTCTTTTTTCATAATACTTCCATTGAATAAACAGTTAATCCATTCAAAGTTACAGACTCTGGTAGACAGCATAAGCCATGGCTACACGTGTATCAGTAAAACTGAACTCCTGTCAGATCCTTGTGTACCTGCCAAAATTGTCTTAATCCTTGCATATTAACCTTCACTGCAACTGGACTCTTCATTAAAATCAGCGAGGTGGGTTTTGTTTCTTTGATTTGATCTCTAGTTTGAGTGAAATAACTGATTTTTTTTAAAAAAAATTAATCAAGAGACATGTACTGACTTGCTTGCATTGGCAAAGTGCCAGAGAGCTCTAGGTGTGTCCTAAATTATTACTCAGATTAAAAGGCTTTGAAAATGGCAGGAAGGAGGTCCTGATACCTAGTCTCCAAAACTGCATAAATGGATCGCTAGTAGTGAAACACATCAGGAGAATTACTTTCTTCTTTTGTAGCACATGATGTTTTGTCAGGGATCATGCAGAGAAGCCAGGAGGAACATTATTAAATTGGGGAGGGAACAGGTGTAGTCTCTCTTCCTCCACAGGAAAATTAATGTTGAGTGTAGTGTCAAATCAGTATTTTAGAAATGAGATACAAAATTTTTGTCAGGCTTAGTCTTTGTTCACCCGCTGTGCCAATAGCTGGTGCTGTCCTACCAAGCCTGGCTCTGCAGGTGAGCGTTCCGAGCGCACTGTGGCCGTGCTGGGTGCTGTCCTTGCTCTCCCTTTCTGCTGTACTGAGAGCACTTGTTCTGAACCCAGCTTTGTGAACTGTAAAGCTCAGTGCCACACTTCTGAACCCTGCAATACTCTCATAACATCAAAGTCTTTATTTCATACTAAAAGACCATTTTTTCTTGAAGAGGCAACAGTCCTCAGCCACAAAAGTGAATCTAAAATGTGAAAGCAAAGGCATCAGAATGGAGCAAGAACTGCCTCTGCTAGCTGTAGCTTGGCTTTCGTGTGCAGCAAGAGCTGAAGCTATTCTGGTTGCTTTCCTCTAGACCAGTCCCACTGTTCTGACCACTCTTCTTCACAGTGGTTCCAGAGAGTAACCTATGGTCAGCTTGGAGACCATTACTGTATAGTTAAGGGAAAGTTACCAGTACAGTCTCTATACTGCTCATTCTTAGAATACTGTGGTTTCTTCTACCAGGACTTTTATTCCTCAGTTTAGGTAAAACATGGCATTTCCTTTCCATGAGTAGTAAGTAATGCACTAAGTCCACCACACCTCCATTTGACCAGGATGATGTTTTCACTCAGAAATTGGAAGTCTCATAATTGGTATCAGTTTAGTGATGGTCCTGGCCACCAAATTTGTCAGGGGTTTCAGTACCCAGCCTCATCAAAGACCACATTTCTGTTTGTAAGCCTCCAAAACAGACTCCCTCCATTGTTGCATTACAGCTTATAAAGACCATATGTCACGTGCTCTATCACAGACCAGCACTAGTGTGTTACAGTATTTTGGACATGTACGTCTCTTCAGGAGTTGGTCACGGGATGCCAGTGGGAATGCCTGAAGCTTTCCACATTTGTCTTGCTTCATTTTCTGAATTCTGTAGCTATGTTTCCATGAAACACAACTGCAGTTCCCCAGGCTGTTGGAGGTGAGTTTATAGACTGAAAGTGTGTATTGAAACCATCCTTTACTTCTGTCATTCTTCTGAGTTTTAATTCTTTGTCCTAGCTTTTGCAGTTAATTGCAAAATCCCAGTTAACCTCCCTAAGTGGTGCAGCACAGAAGAACTACTTTAACATCTTGGACAAAATTGTGCAGAAGGGTAAGACCAGAGGTTTTATAACCTGCTTGTTCAGATTTAATCGCTGTGGCTAAGCTATCAGTTGATTATAAATTTTTTTGTTAGCTTTATTACCATTTTTACATTGTACAACAGATAATAGCATATTTAATTATTGAAAGGTTTCATAGTTCCCATCCCACAGTTGCAATAAGTTGTTTTCTCTTGATTATTGAATCATGTCAGTTGAAACAGATTGGTGATGTTAAAGGACAATTAGGCTCTATTCAGAAACTGTTGGTTGCTATTAAATGATACTCTTTATGGAGTGAGAAAGCTTTTAGGTTAGTGACATGTTTGTTTCTCACCTTGCATAATGTACTGAGATTTAAGGTACATAATTGCTTTTCTTTGTTTATTTTCAAAAAGGCTATTACATAATATTGGAAAAAAATTCTGGTAACCATGCTAAATGGAGATGTAATACTGAGCTTTGAACAGAAGAAATTAAATTTATAACTAGCTGTTCAGCATGAAGTTTATTAAATGCATAGCATGAAATATTACATCAAATCTCCCTGTGAAATTGGTAATTACTGACCTTGCACGTACGGACCAGCATTAATGAATGTCGTGGTGGGAATTAGGGCAGCTATTTGTACACAAAGTTGAGGTTTTAATTAATTTCAATTGAGTTTTAATTAATTGGGTTGAGCTAACTGTATTAGCTTAGGTAACTAAGTTAACCAAAATCATGTTTGGTTTGGTTTGTTTTCCAGTTATGGAAGACCAATACAATCCACGACTAATCAAAGATCTTCTGCAGGACCTGAGTTCTACTCTCTGTATACTGATTAGGGGAGTAGGAAAATCTGTGCTGGTAGGGAACATCAATATTTGGATTTGCCGATTAGAAACAATTCTTCTGTGGCAACAACAACTAAAAAACCTTCAAATGAACAAGGTATTATTAAAACAGACTAAAAAAGTCTTTGGAGGAGGGAAATTACATTGAACATTGGTTTATGATTTGTAAGCGAACAAAGTTTCAAATACCTATTAAAGAGTTTTACTTGTATTCTTTGTTTTTTAGAGAATTAATATGAATTTCATGAAATGGCATTGACTTAATTTTCTAATGTTTTAATAGCTATTCTGAGGGCTGCTACAGTACCTGTACCACTGGTTAGTGGTAGAGGTGTATAGATGTAATTGTTTTTCTCACTTAAAATAATTGCTAAATGTTTGTCTAGATTGGCAGAGATGGAAAAAAAAAAAAAATTTATTCCAAAGTGTAAATGTTCTACTACTGAGGAGATAAAAATCTAAGAGGAATTTTTGAGGTGGACCAAGAGATAGAATATTCAAATAACAATTTTAGAGCTTTATGCATTAGCACAGTTGCTTTTTTTTTTAACAAAAAACACCCCCACACAAGAAAAACCACCCAAAACAAAACCAAACCCTACATCATCTGGATTGTGATCATGTGACTTTATTCAAAGCACATGGTATGCACTGTTCCAGATTTTTATAGTGGAAACTTCTGATGATAAGCAGGTAATTTTCTTAACCTGTCTGGGTTACTCCTGGAGGAAGAAATGCTGCAAGATGCTGCCCGCAGTAAAGTCATGCAACTGTTTCATCTCTTGCTTTCAACTATGAAATTTTGAAATCATCCTTGCTGTATGTGCCAGGTATCGGAGTAAAACAGCTAATTTTGGCAAAGGAGGGAGCAGTGGGGACCCAAATCTCAGCAGTTTCATGTGCCCAGCACCCACAGCTCAGACAGTTTTGAGGCACTGCGGTTGCTGCGTTTGTTTGCTTCCAGCCTGCCGCTTCCATCTGAGCTGTTTTACCTTGGTTGAAATAACTGCTGAGAAATCTTGTGAGTGTAGTGCTCACATATTCCTGAACAGAATGACAGCCCCTGAGATGTTTATAACAGATGACACTATGGAAAGTCTAGTTTATAAGTGAGATGAATGGTTGCAAAATAAACTGAGGTAAGTGAGAGTCTGTGACAGTCCAGCTGCTGTGCTGCCTGGGCCTTGTGACTGGGCAGCTCTGCTCCATGAGGCAGTTGCCCACGCTCCCTGGTTGCCAGCTGGGCTACTGCCTCCAGTCTGGTCGAGCTCTGTGCCACCTGGCAGTGTGAGCTCCAGGTTCAGTCACATATGAGTTGTGCTGCATGTTACCCCATTAAGGAGAAGGTTCAG